AACTAATTTAATTTCTCTCATCAGCTACAGATTTTCACAAATCTCATAAGGAACTTTTCAACAAATTTGAAAGTGCTACTGATAAATGTTCCATATTCAAAATTTAAACATGTAGAAGTATTTAAAAAATACGTGTGTCCTACCTGCTGCTTCTACTTCAGAGGCATCACCAGCTACAAAGCCACTCTTTGTTCACAGCTTTCATGCTAGCATTCCCCCAGCTACATTAGTCATGTATGAGTTATCTTAGACAACTACGATTCTGTTGTGTTAATGATACATTCATTTCAGTGTAGTAAGACTTCAGGCACATAGTGCATATTGTAAAAATTATCTTTCTGTATCCAGATAACATACATTTTCTCATTTTCCACCATGGGCATGATTTCCAACTCCGAAGCTCTGCTCCCTTCTTCCTGAAAGTTTGCTTTCAAGATTTTCCTCTTTATTTTGTATGATATCTAGAGACTGCCATGACACCCTCATAAACATTTTGCAAAAAGCAAACATACAGCATTTCGGAAAGACACACAGCATATTACAGATGTTAATTTACCTTCTGCAAGCGAACCTTCCCGTATGCAAATTTGGGTGTTGTTGGAGGGATAAGACCTTCTGGTAACTGGTTATACTAGAAAGGGAAGGAAGAAAAAAAGCAAAACACACAAAACAATTACAAACGTGCTTTAACTGAAATCCCACTTTCCAATTCACAACTTACAAACTCGAAACTTCAGCTAAAAGTAGATAATCTCACTGTACTAAAGGATTACAGCTACACCTAGTCTAAGACGGACTTGTTTTGTGGGTTTTCTTTTTTTAAATCTCACTTGATCACATATGGTAAACAATTTTTAGTAACTATTCAACTCAAGGTAACAGTACAAAGCAGAGCTAATAAATGAGCTGATGAAGAATCACAGTGCCCTTGGAGCCCTCCTGTGGCTACAGCTTGCCTTACTGCCTTCGACAACCCTCCAGCAGTCAGCTCCCCAGTCCATGGGAGCTCAAGTTAACCTTTCCAAGTCTGTAGGGCCATGTTTCCACCTGACTCTTCCTTAGCAGCACTTCTATATGGGAATTATTAGCCTCTTGTGCCGTGCCTTTCCTTTCAGAGTTACTATACTCCACCACCACCTGCTAATCCATTACTGCCTGGGATGGTTTCTTTGAGAAGATGGCCTTGAGCCCATGGTCTTCTCCACAGCTCCATGAGCCCTTGAGGTCCCATTGTTAGCTTCCCTCTGGTCCTGGTCTAGACAATTGCCCAATCAATCATAGGGAAACAAGACAAGGAAACACTGACTGCTGGGCTATTTCTATTTGCTTTTTGCCCTATATCTCTAGGAAGAATCACTCGAGATCATGAGACAGAAGGGGTGAAGGATGTCCACCACTTTCTTGGACACCTTTGAGGAGCAGCAAGTCTAGGCAGTGGCTTTCTGCCCCATATCCTAGCCTTGTCCTTTCTAAGCCTAAAACTTTACTTTCTCCTTACCATCATCCCCTTCCCCCTTTCCTGCCATTACCTGTCTCCTGTAATGTCCACTCTTCCCATCTGTTCTTTCATTTACTGAACATGGCCCTCTCTGCATGTTACAGCGAAAAAACTTCTGTAGATGGATATCCATGTCATCAAGCAATCTAAGCTTACATTTTAATACACATGCACAAATAACCACCTTTGTGAAGGCTATCTTAATCTGCATATTCAGTGACTTCTGAGTGCCTCCTTTGGCAGCTCCTAGTTTGTTTGGTTTTGTTAATAGATTTGGTGAGGGGCTTGAAAGGGCATTTTTCTTAAGAGATTTTACTTTGAATTCAGCTTGAAAGTTTCAGCACAAGGCATGATTTGCTGGGCTTATACATGATATATCCAGCATAAAACTCATGCTCAAAACCTTACCTCTGCACCAAGACAAGGGGTTTTGGTTTTGGTGATTTGGTTTGGGTTTTTTTGTTTAGTTGGTCTATTTTTATTTTTTTTTTAAACAGACCACAGCAGTGTAGTTCTCAATGCCCTCCTGTAAAATTTCAACTATGGACTGATGAAAGCCTGATTTATATTTCCGGTAACAAGTTCATTTCTTCCTCTCTGTGTTTGAGAATGAACAATGAAGATATTCAGGCTTACAGAAAAAAACCCACCAACACCCCCCTGCCCCCCCGTCTATTTTTATTTTTTTTTTAAACAGACCACAGCAGTGTAGTTCTCAATGCCCTCCTGTAAAATTTCAACTATGGACTGATGAAAGCCTGATTTATATTTCCGGTAACAAGTTCATTTCTTCCTCTCGGTGTTTGAGAATGAACAATGAAGATATTCAGGCTTACAGAAAAAAACCCACCAACACCCCCCTGCCCCCCCCTCTGGCCCCCAAACTATATTCACTCAAGAGAAGAAGTGAAAAGTAGGAAATTTCAGCCCAAACAGTAAAAATTAGAGAATGCTGTCGGCAATTGAAAGAAGCTGTAGACTGAAACCTTTCTTCTTTATTACATTTATTAACAGAGGGAAACAGTAAAGGATGATTACAACGTGCTAGCCTTGTAGCACAGCTAACATGTTGAATGCAGTCACTAGTTACGGGCAACTTAATTTTCTTTCATCAGCTCCACCTCAAACTGCAACTGAGTAGATGATAGAGTGTTACAGGTTTAGAACCCACAGCAGAGACAGGAAAACTTCACCAAGATCCTATGGATATTGAAGGCAAGAGATAAACAAACCACACCAAAAAAAGCCATACCACGACCTAACACACCTTATGCTATACTGAACACTTCAGATATTATCAAAGCTATCTCAGTGCACTAAAACACTACTTACATTTCAGATAGGGATCTTGCCTTGAAGAAAACAACTCAAAAACAGGAAGTTTGGGAATTTCTCTGGTGAGAAAAGCTGACAGGAGGTTGCCCTTGAAAGGCTATCAAAATTATCCCATCAATGGAAAGCTTGGGATAATGGAGAAATTGAAGAAAATGATCCACAGTAGGCCTCCCACAGATATGGAGATAAAGGCGTGCTCACCTCCAGAGAAAGTGTAATACACTTTTGGGAGATCTACTCCCATCAAAAAAATGTCTTCTAGTGAATAGGAATGTTGCTGGCACACAGCAGGACAGCGAATACAAGCCTGAGCATTGGGATTCCCATGGAATCTGTTTTTAAGCCTCATCTGAACAGCCTCCAATGCAAGGCTATTCAAAAATCCAGATACAGGTTCCATGCCTCACTTCAATCTCCAGTTTGGCGACATACTGTACATTTTTGTAGCAAAGGCAAAGCTGGTCCCACCCACTAGCTACAGTTTGTGGCATTACGAAAACAAGATGTGTTCATTTGCATAAGCACACTCCTCCTCACGAAGGCCCAAAACCACAAGACGAAGCTTGGGATACAGAAAGCCATAGCACTAAGCCACAGTGCGTGTCAGGCTGACATCAAGTGATGGGCCTGAGCTGACTGATGGATGCTGCAAGGGAAAAGCTCTGTTCACTCTTCCTCCATCTCTGCTCCTTCCTGCCTCCCTCTGCTCCCCTTGTGCCAGCACTAGCTCTCATCTGACTGAATCAGCCCAGCCCATTCAGCTTACTGACCTTGAGGTGGAAGAAAACAAATGGAGCAAAAAATCAGAGCTGAATCATTTCAGTGTCAGACCTGCACCTGTATCCCCAACTCAAAGGAAGGAGGGAGCCATTGGGACAGAAAGGATAGCCAGAGAGGTGCAGGATCTTTCCCCTTTTGTAACAATAAGTAGTTAGGTTGGCCTAATCACTTTGCTCTATTTCCCTTATCTGCAGAAAATAGTAAATTCAGAAGTAACATATCAACACAAGAGCAAGAGAGTTTGCAATACACCAGGGATGTTTCAAAGAACCATTCTAAACATGTCCTAGGGACACTCACCATACCAATGACTTCTCTCAAGGCAAAATATTTTTCTGTCAGATCCCCCGCTTCACTCAGTGGAGCATCATAGTCATAACTAGTGGGCTGTGGCATATAGGGCATATTAGCACCTAAAGGAGGGGGAAAAAAAGACAGCAATACAACAGTGAGAATTGGGTGTTTTCCAAAGTATCAACTTTCAGAATTCTTTCCAATCACAGCCAGACTCTGCTACATTTTTAGATTCAATGTAGGCCTTGGTATTTGGCATAAACAAACTATTCTTGATGGAGGACAATGTCCTCCTGAGCTCACATTGCTCTGTTATACAGTCTTCAGAAGTATTTTGAAAAGAAACAAATTTATCCACGTTTCAACTGATTCACAGGACTGAGTGAAGCAGAAGGAGCCTTTGCAAAGATAAATACCATGTGAGTTTAGTACAACATGCTGGCAATAGAGAACAGCTAGTGCAGTCATCTTTTCCAACGTGAAATTAGGCATAGCTTATTCTTTCACAGAATACGTTACTACCTAATTCATAAACAGCTCCCCTACATCGTTAGTATAATTTAAATAATTTCTTACCATTCCAATAGGCAAAGTTAGTCCCACCTATAAACATGTACCTAAAAGGGAAAAAAAGCCATCCACTTAAATCAGGTTTTGCTTAAATGGGGAAAAAAAATCCCCCAAAATTAACCTCTACTGAACACACACTTACAGGTTAACGTTAGCACCACGTGCCAGGATTTCATTAAGTGTTTTAGCTATAGTTTGTGTGGGCACAACAGAGTGACGGTGCCCCCAGTGATCCAACCATCCAGTATAAAACTCAGAATTAACCTGAAAGGAGGAAGGGCAAAAGAGGAAGGGAAAACATGAAGAGGGAACAAGAACAGAGTGCAATATGATTTAAGGTTACTAACTGTAAGAGGGAAGGAAAAAAATCACCTTGACTCATTTGAGCCATTTTTAAACTACTCTAAATAAAGCAAAGTATACACTAAGTCAATCCTTTTCAACAGATAACTGGTCAAAGAAATTAAAAGATTGCTTCAATAATTTTATAAGGACACTTTGAAAATACTTGCTGGAGTAGCAAAGCGCACTTCCTTGGAACCTGTCAACATGAACATGTTTCAGATGCCTGGCATTCAAATAAATGATGGAACCAATACAATCTCTGCAGTATAGCGTATGTAAACTAGTTGTAATGGAAAATAAATCTTTCAAATACTCAAATTGTGTTCTAATCAATTTCATAGCACAGAGATAATCTTGTACCCTCAACGGGCCTTCTCCCTTTGTCAAAATGGTTTCCAGTGATTCATGTCCCATCACAGCTTGTGTAAAATTTCTAGGGTAGCTAAAAAACAGGAAGCGACTTCTAACCTGCCCTTTGAATTTTACTTTAAACTTACACCCACATGCATACCTCACTAACTCATCTAATCATACTTACTGTTTCCGCTGCTTTGTAAACATTTGTCTTAGCAAGGAAAAAATACTGAAACAAAAGCAATATGTTATGAGACTAAAATAATATTTGCAGAACAGGAGCTAACGAGGATTTGACAAACACGCACAGAAGCTCCTCTATTCAGTTTTTCTGACTGACTTGAAAATTAAGTCTTTATAAACATGTTTCTAAAAGTGTCCAACACACTGTTGTCAGGTTCTCTCTTATCAGCCACTGCAACATTAGGAACGATACAAGAAATTTAAGTGAAAAGACATACCAAAGGGCCCGTAGGTTCACTGCCCCTTTGAGCTAAGAATGCTGCTGTGACATTGCCACCTATAAGCAGATAGAAATAAAATTAAGTTGCTACACTCATGACTTTCAGTCCTTCATTTTACTGAAATGGGTGTTTTATCTCCCTTCCAACATCTAGCAAGAATCCAGACAAGAAAGTTACTTCAGAAAACAGGAATCAATACCTTTGATTCCAGTGTTTAAGTTGGAGCACTTATTTAAAATATATACACACAGGTATGCATGCACGCATGTATGTCTTTGCTTTTGAGATAAATCTTCTGAAAACCCAGCTTGTCTCAGGAATGACATCCTGGCACCAAAAAGTCTGAGCTGTGTCAGAATTGCTACTTGGTCATTGGAAAGTACAGGCCTGGGGTTGTGGTACCAAGACTACAGGGAAGAAGCCAGGCAATCTCTAAAGAGGAGTTTCACTTCTGATCACTCCCAGTAGCTCAAGCCATAGGGACTGGAAATAACTACATCCACGAGTAGCTCGCCATGATACACATGAAGTTGTTCACAATTTCGATCTACTTCTAAGAAAGCAGATTCCTGCTAAGCACACATTTTGACTGTAGAGAGAATAACGTACAAAAGAGGCCATATGGAAAAAAATATGGAAATATCTATCTTGGAGTTTGTTTCTTGTGTCTTAAGCCTATTTTGCCAAGTCCACGTAGTATATGAACATTTACATTGTTAACTCTCCTCTTCTATCAAAAGGGCACTTTCTGAACACACTATGGTTGCTTAGCCATTCTTCAGGCTTATATCACAGCAAATTGTGGCAGTGTGCACATTTCTAAAGACGATCTTCAGCAGTAATTTTTTTTTCCCAGTAACCAGTGGCTTAAAAAAGAAATTAACTGTAAGGGCTGGATTCTGGGACAGACAGAGGGCATTAAAAAACCCCACAAACCCAAAACAACAACAAAACCCCCCCATCGTCAAAAAATATATTATTAAAAAAAATAAATGGAATCAATGCCAACTGTCACTGCTGATTTTTAGGAGATACGTGCTATGAGCAGTAGAAATTGTTTATTCATGACTTCATGATGCAAGGAAGTGATTATGACACTAACTAGGTACTTGTGGACGATTCTTTTATGTTTAAGAGTACAACAAATATACGTAAATGCTAGGGAGTTGGACTCAATGATCCTTATGGGTCTCTTCCAACTTGAGATATTCTATGACTCTATTATCCAATTTAAACAAAACAGTCAGGTTTGTCAAGCCGTCAAGTCAGTTTGTCCTGCCACAAACACACAGAGAACACAATTTCTTGCTAACAAGCTGTGGTCTCCAACCTGGGGCAAAATCCACTGTTGCGTAAAGGCCCTGAAGAGCTCCGCATCTCAAGTGAAACTGGCTTGCACCATCAGTTGTGAACAGCACCACCTCATCCCCGAGATGCTGGCGAAAGAGCTTCAGAAGGGAACGGAGATAGTCATAGTCGCAAGCGAAGTAGCTTCCATACTCATTTTCTACCTGCACAGTAAAAGCAAGTCAGTAAAGCAGTAGCCAATTTCAGTCTGCATCTGATACCAAAATGGAAAGCCCAAATCCAACCATCCTCTCCCTTTGATGGCAATGCCGAAAATGTCATTTTAACTCCAGACCTGAGGAGTAAGAGAAGACAACACTTCTAGGCAAGTCACTCCTCCTACCTTTAACTTACAGTGGAGCAATCACTATGCGAAGATAAGTAATTTTCATACAAAATCACCCTCCACATAAAAATCTCTACCGTAGCTACTTAGCAACAGCAATCAAAACACAGTGTTTATTAAAAATGGAGATCTATGACCCACCTCCCAAGGAGAACAATAAAACCATAGAACAGGTTGTGACATGATCAAACTGTTAAGGAACACCTGTGACACTACCACTCAACACCCGTGGAGTGTCTGCAAGAGCAATATAAGCATCCATGCTGCTTTGGTTCACTTGATTTTCAGGAAGTTACCTGCACCATGATGATTGGACCTCCATTTTGATAGAGGTGAGGCCTCATCTTTGGCAAAAGGACACCCATCCATTTCTCTACTGCTGCCAGGTAATCTGTGATACACAAAGTAGAAGTGTTTCACAACTTTTCTGCTTTCTTCTAGTTTTTATTATAAGTTATATATGGGTAGTTTCTACCTAGTCTTCTAAATATGTAGAGTATAACAGAACAGCATTTAATGAACTGATGTGCTCTTACATTTGTTCATAAATGTCAGCTTCCAGTACAGTTTACTAAAAAATAAAACATTTAAATACTGATGAACTTGGAAAATCACCAGCAATCACTTCAATGTCTCACACAGGTTGTCCTGATACATTCAACAGGAAAACAAATCTGAGTGTTTCTACGTGTACTATTTTTAAAAATAGATAATTTATCCCACAACGAGCAGAACTGAAGTCAGATATAATATATATCTTTGTCCCCTGTAACTAGTTCTGGAATTACATGCACACTAAGCAGGAAAGACCCCACAATGAGTGGTTGGTTGGCCATTGCAAAACAAAAAAAACCCCTCAAAAGCTAAGAGCTACCTATCTTTTCCTCAATGGTGACAATGATTTCTCTCTTGGCACCAATTTTCATGAAACTTGTCAATACTTCAGAAACTTTCTACCCTACTTTGTTCATTCTATATACTTCTTGAATGCACACTTTTTAATAAAAGTACTGAAGATTTTACTCACAAAATAACTTAAGCTGAAATATGAATTATCTGGTCACCTTGCTGCTAAAGCATATTTTTTCTAGTCCTTTTTGATGCCTCTACCTGAATCCGAAGACCTGAGAACAATAGATTTCTTCTCCAACAGCCATGCAGGAAGCCCTCCCTGGGAAAAGAAAGGGAATCACTTCAGTGACCATGTTCAGGAAACATAAGAAAAAAAATAGCCTTTTATCAAAACATATACTGAAACCTGAAGATTGATTTTCTACAAGTAAAAATTCCCAATGAAAAACCAAATACAGCGTAAGCTTGCTTTGCAAGAAGTCACTTAGGATGCATGGATTTTAATATGTTAAACCAACAGTCTCATCCAAGGATACACCAAGTACATTTGCCTACTCTAAGACAGAAATATTTGCATTAATTCACCCTAGAAATGAGATAGCTGTTAAAAAAGACAGTACCATGTCCCATTCTGCACAGATGTAAGGTCCAGCTCTCAGGATAACCAGCAAACCAGTGTCGTTAGCAAGCTGCAGAAAATACTCTAGATCTTTGTCACCAGAAAAATCATACACACCCAGCTGGGGTTCGTGATAGTTCCATGGCACATACCTATAAAGAGAAAAGATCACCTTCCATTAGGAAACCGAGACTAAACCAGAACTCTGAATAACAACTGGTCGCACTACACGCCCAAGAGATCTGTAATGCTGAACTGGTCTTCAGATCAGTAAAATACAAGAGTAACTCTAGCGCCTTTCTTCTGTCAGGCACTTCATATGGCATAAAGTGTTAAAATTGATACTGAAATAAGGCTTAGTACTTTGCAGTACATCTGCAGGAATCCCTATCAATGCAAGAACGGGGTTTGGTAGCGCCATTTAGAAACCATAATATCTGTTCCAAAATACAAGTAGTTAACAGTTTTAACGTTACCAATTTGGTTGCCAGTGGTATAGTGGTGAGAGGTTTGTGAAAAGATGAATAGTGTAAACCACCCACAAAAGAGGTGGTCAAGAATGAGCTTACCCAAAACAGCACATAACCCTTTGCAAACGGATCATCCAGCCTGCACAGGGAACACCAACTGGGCTGACAGGTCCACACTGCTACCACTACAAAGTTTAAAATGTCTAAGTCTTAAATGATATTGTATCTAGGTCCTGAAAGCTTTCATTGACAAGGAGCAACGTAGGCTCTGGAAAACCAGCATGGGAAGAACGGTCAAGTTAGAGGATGCTGAAGTGCCCAGGAGCCTGGACAAAGTAAAACTTCATTTCAACCAAGTAATAAAGCTGCCAAACAAGCAGATAACCATTTGGGAGAACACTCCCTCCGCTATTTCCAGGACTTAGGAATCCACAACCTCACCACAGAACATCTCTCAGAAGATAAAAAATACATTTGGTTGCAAAACAAACAAACATGTTATCTACCAACTACTATGCGTTGTGCTGTAGCTTGTGGCCCTTGCTTGACAACCATGTGACTTTTGACTTGGGATAGCGCTAAGTGGTGGTTGTAGCACAGACAAACATTAAAATTAGGGATGGGTACAACCTGAGCAAAGATTCAAGAGAATGGAAAAACTCATTCTCCATGCATTTACCTTTTTGCACATAGGTTTGCAATCCCTCCAACAGAACTGTTGCTATTGTTCCAGAGAGAACAAATTTGAGAAAAATCTGTAAAACCAAAACTGTGGTTAGTCAAGCAAAGATCCTTTCAGGCAACACTTCTCTTACTGTCTGGGTTTGTTAATATGTTCCAGAGTTAGTTTTGTAAGAACTACCCAAGAAGGAAAGAAAGTGCAGAAAATAAAGAAGAAAAACAGGAACCCTCAGATAAGCACACTACTGAAATGGCCACACTCAGAAAGACATGAACATTAAATACAAAGATTATAATCTTTCAGCAACATTAGTTAATATAGCCTCACAAATGCCAAAACTTTAAGCTTCTGTTTGAAAAGATAAAGCTTAAAGTTTGTATGCCAGGATGGAGTCAAAGCAACACACTCAGACATCAAAATGCAGACTTTCCCCTCTACATAGTACATTTTATTTCTTTGTCACCCTGCTCTAATTGTTTCCAAAGCACTCGATTAGCTCACTTGTAGAACAAACTAAATATACATTTAATGAATATATGAACCATGTGAAAATATGTTCAACATTAATTTAGTTTTGTGCACTTTGCCTAAATTTCAAGCAGATGAGCAAGCTGATTGCTGACATTTAAGATCAAATTAGATAAAGTAGAAAATTATTTAAAACAAACAAATTGCCAAACTACCCCAAAGAAGCCCATACCAGCGTATCATATTGTGCTTGCTTTCCCTGTTCCATATGCCATTATCCAGGTTATCGCTGCAGAATAATTTTAGTTTGCTCTAAGTCATAATAGCTATACTATTTTCAAAACTATTGCTTAGAAATACAGACTTCTTCTAAGTTATATATACATGACTATGGATTTGCCAAGCACAGATAAATTTAACTCCATTTGTTCACAGGAAAACTTGCCTAAAGGATTAGGGAAAAGGACAAAAGGTGATGTCTCTTGACTTAGCAAAGCTTTTAGTACTCTGCTGTACAACATCACTATAAGCAAACAAGAAAAAAATTAGAGGCTAGTTGGTATAACTTTAACATAGAATAAAAATTAACCACAGAACAACCCAGAATTTGCTGGGAAAGCAATGAGATATTTTGAGGAGTATCTTTGGTAGTTCTAACTATATCCAAAGCTTTTACTCACATCTGGGTGATGTAATCCCCAGCATGCTTTGCAGATGGGGAGCAGTTGCAAATCCGTGGGTGAACAAGATCGGGATTCTAAATGCTCTTCACTAATGAGCAACATGGTCTGATATCAACAAGGAACTAAGAGTTATAACTTTTCAAGTTTCTCTTGCACAGAAAAAGGCAAAAAATACAAAATGAGAAGGAAGGCATATGGAAGTGGTATTAATACGAAAAGGGTCTGCAGGTTCCACTGAAAACTACCACCTGACTATGAATCACCGACATGACACTGCAGTAAGAGACAAAGCTTTCTTGGAAGAATTAACAGACATGTTGATGTAGCAACTCATTCACTGATAAATGCTTCTAGCAGAGAGCTGCACCTGTTTGAGCTAAATAAAGATTACTAGATATTAACTTCATAACAGTTTCTCACTGCCTAAAATACTATCACAGAAACTTGTACTTGGCAACAACTGCTTATACTCCTTGCTCTTTAGGCTACCAAACTAGTTCTTTTTAACTGGTAAGGAAATTACAGGTTACTATGAGAAAAGCATTCTTGCTGTAATTTAACTACACCTTGTAATCTGATAGTTACAAAAAACCGTACTCAAAATATATACAAGTTTTATGAACGTGTTCTAGAAACAAGTCTGAAGGTTTAAATATGCTTAAAATAGTGTCAGAGGTGAGGACAAAAGGCTTCCTCACACTCAAGATGGAAGACAGAAAAATTCTTCCAGAAACAGTTTTAATGTATGTCCCATGCTTCCCCACAAGGCTGGAAAAAAACAGCAGATTTTAGTGGAGAAGGGAAGAAAGTGAAGAAAAAAGAATAACGTGAAACGCTTTCTTACCGAATGAATCATGATATAAATGTATTTCAAACACTGGTCTAAAAATCATTACTAATATACTTTAAACCCCCAATATATTTTCTACAGCTAGCAACGTCCTCAAATTAAATTATTTTACTTTGAAATTGTTATTATTAGCAAGTATAATTCCTATATACCATTGTACAAATTTATAGTCAGTTATTAATGCTGCACTGCTTTAGCTATGGAACAATGAATTTATAAAGGAATGCCACATTCCTTTTTTCAAATTTGAAACGTTATATTTCCTCTCCATTTGAGTAATAGCATTTACTCTCCATTTACAATTTCTATGCTTTATCCTATAACCTTCCTTTTCTTTAAAAGTCAGTTTTCCTCTCCTATTTCAGAGAGATGTCAACAGGCAAAACCCCCCCACTTTAACTACCTTAATGTACAGAATAATTCTCTCTGTAATACCAAGGTGGGTTTTTTTTTTAATAGTGTAAAATTAAATAGCTTGTATTAATTTTATAAATACTAGAGCAGCATTTTATACATGGTAGTTAAATTACACATTTATAAGTCTTTAGAGAAAGTAAATTGTGCTTATATTTTAATTAATAGATATTCTAAACAGCAGCTCTTTCTTAGAGTTTCTACAGGCTTACAGTTTTCTGCTCTACTAGTCAACAAATACAGCAAAACAAATAAAATGCTCAACATCCTTTAACTTTCTATGATCCTATACGGTAACTGCTGATTCTTCCAGGAAGCTTCTCCACTGATCTGTAAATCCTGTAAATATTTAGCCCCATCTAGTGGCTAATTGTTTATCTCCTTCATGCCAAAATAAAAAACCAAACCAAACCACTAACTTTCGATCCTTTCCAGATGTCCTTGATAGCATTCATTTCTAGTTGGCAGACACAGCTCAGGAACTGAAAACACGGACAGTTACCCCTGCGTGACCAGATGCCTCTACTTGCTAACTGCTGAGGTTGGGAGTGGAGCTCCCACGTATACCTCCACCATCTTCTAGGATGTTACACCAACCACAACATCAAATTTCAATCTGCTGTTTGGAAGGCTTAGGCCTTGATATTTTAAGCTTTAATGTAAGATCAATCTTCCTGTCACTTGCTTCCTCACACTGTTATCGCTTAACATGTTTACAGGTGCAGATGGTTACATACACATACTGACTTCACCCATTCAAGGGTCCCAGATGAGCTGCTGACTCAGTTATTAGCTGAACGATGCATCAATGCAGAGCAAGTCTTTTGCAAATGAGGCTGCACAGAACAGGAAAGAGAGCAGGTTTGGCTTGCTATGACCACAAGGTATTTACAAGGACAATCCTGTAATAAAAAGGATCTTGTTTCCCTCGAAGTGGTAAGCCTCACTGGGAGCACCTTGATAAGAACAAGGAAGGCTCCCATATTTCAAATTATAGTACGACCTTTCCCTGTCTCATGAGAAAAAACCCAAGCAGCAAGATCAGAGTCTTCAGAGGTGGCCCCAAGGTTGGTAGTCCAACTACCACATTCTGACAGAAAGTCTGGCAGTGCTGCTGCCTATACTAGAATGACTTCACACAACTGGTATCTCGGTCCCTTGCTTAATAGTTTTACTGACCCAGGAAAGGGTACCAGAAGAAAACAAAAACACAACTAAATAATCATCTAGACCAATTTCCATTTTTACCAAAACCACACAAAATCACAGCAGAGTTGTTAGGAGTAACATGAGAATTTATTGCTTTATCTCAAATAATCAAGAGCAGTAAGGATTCATTATCTGCAAACTTCAAAAGAAAAACAAAAGGGTTTTAGTGGGTGGTTGCTTTGGGGTTTTTTAGCATCAAGAGAGAGAGATCAGTGTCAAATAGTAAAATGCATGGATTTGATTCTCATAGAAAATGCAAGGCACGGGTACTTTCTGCTTGTAAGATGCACATTTAGGAGCTATCTTTCATCATAGTAGAAAAAATCCTAAGGTAAGCAATGACGGGGGAGAAAGTTAAAAAATCCCAGTCTGCTCTACAAAAAGAAAAGAAGGTTGTAAAATACCTGTTAATTGTAATCAGTGATCCAGCAACAACACCTAAGGCCATGGGTCACATAAACACAGGGCAACACTTGCTAGCTGTACCGTACCTTCTGTGCCTAAACAGAAACAACTCAGCCCTCCCAAGACCAGAGACTAGTCAACACCAGCAACACAAGACAATCTCCACTCCTTCCTGCACAGCGGAAGGACGCTAAAGCAAAAGAGTAAAGCACAGAGTAAGACATCTCAGCAAGTGAAAAAAAAAAAGGAAGAATAACCTTGTTAGCAGAAGGTTACAAAGGAAGAAGGAAGCAACAGGAGAGAAAACCTGCCGGCCTCCAGCAATTTTGACATTAAACAACAGTGATGGAGGGGGAATGGGAAAGAAAATATTCCTATCTCAAAAGACCAGTGATGCAGCAGAGACATGAACAGGCAATTTCAAAGAAAAAAAGGAGGGACTGCTTGAAAAAGGTGGAAAATATATGGTTGTTGGGAGGAAGAAGAAAATAAATCAGAGGCATAAGGGAAGTATGAGACACTGCAGATCATAGGAGTCACAGAGCCACTGTCGGGACCCAGGCTGATCTTCAAGCCAGATATCAAATGGCATTAATTTTCAGGTCCATTTGAGATTACTTTTATTGCAGCAAAAAATAATTACATGGGCAATTCCAGCAACTCTGTCCTGAGCAAGTGTGTTACTTAATCCCACTGTTCTTATGTGAGGGAAGACAGAACTTGCTTTATTTTTTTGTGTGTCTTAAAACTCTTGCCTGTGTTGTTATTATGTAGTGACTTTTTCTTTGGTGGGTGTTTTTGTTGTTTTCAAATAGAGAACCCTAAATTTGAAAAAAGCATTTCCCTACCATCTGTTCTTCACATACTAACCCATACTAATCACATCCCCAAGCGTACAAGGCAACCCTACAACTTGCAGGTCAAACAAAATACAGATTTCCAGGGAGGGGAAGGAGAGAGAGTGCAACACTCCTGCTGAGCAAAGTGCCCTTGCCTACAGAATCGACACTGTCTGGCAGTCCACAGCACACAGGCAGGCTGTTTCAAAGAGAAGCTCTAGGCCTTGTAATGATTTAGGAAAGAAAAACAAACGTGTTTGGGAATTACAACCATTGCTTGAAAAGACTGTGCCTTACACTTTACTATGACTCTTCATCCCTTGTCAAGGAAGCTTTGGCAAAAATAGAGTAAGCTGCATTTTTTTTTAATCTGTGCCTCACCCGTTGTAATAAGTACACAACCAGGTAGGAAAGACAAGAGAGATGGACTAAAGTTTTGGTACGTGCAACTGAAAACTGTATAAATTGTCTTTTTTTTTAAAGAAGTACATCTACTTCCCAACCATTTTTCTGCATTTAAACACTTCCGGTGACATAGCTTTAAATATTACTACAGCCTTTGCCAGTATTTTCAAGCCTTCAGGGCAATACAATGTAGACTCTATTACAAGGTTATTGTCCCCTCTCACCTCATCTGCCTTTTGACCAGAAATTACGATGCCCTTGGCAGAGCACATACAACTGTTCCATAGTCACCAAAGTTAACAGCCCAACAATTTATTTCAGGTCAACTTTGCACCCTGGGTTGTGGAGCAAGAGGTGTTGCCTGTCAGCAGGGAAGTGGACTGCCAGCTATAACCTGCCCAGTTGTCCCAGGCTACGCTGTTAGACGTCGTCCCATACCACCCTGTGCTCCTCCAGAGCTTTCTCATTTATTACTTAGAAATTAATAAACCAAGTAACAATGGCAGCATTCTACTTAACTACTTCTCATACATCTCCCAGGACTACAAATCACTTTGAAAGACAACAGCTACTTACGTTTGAATGGCATCAAGTCCTGCCATCTTCATCTTCAACAAGCGGTCTCTCCAGTAATACCGGGGCACCCGTGAGTAGTGAATGCTACCTGAGATGTAACGGAAAGGTCTCCCATCCTTGACAAAGCAGTCACAGTCATAATCAATGCCAAAACTCCTCTGGGGTATATTCTGCGTACAAAAAAACAACAAACCCACAATATAATCCTTTTCTGTCTTGAAAGACACTGAGAACAGTCTATACAACGTCTGTTGTCTACAATAGAAGGTACAATGATGTTAACATAACCGACGGTGAATGGCTCTCCAATAGGTACATATAGCCCACCTGAGCCTGACACACCAAAGGACCACAATACATTTGCCAACCACTCAGCAATGACAGGATTCACTACTACACCAAAATATGTCACATGCATTTTCCACTTTTAACAAGTATCTAGTACCGTCTTCTTACAGTGATACATTTTGCAGTTGCTTACACCAGTGCAAGTGATGAGGAAGGATTTGAGGGAGATTTCATGAGTGCCAACACTCCATAGTCAATGCTTCAGCTTACTAAAGTGTTGGAAAACACAATCCAATTCAAATCTAATATCACACTCGAGTTTAGAAGCAAAAGCCAGCTGGGAACCTTTGAGGAATAAATACCACATTCTAAATGCTCAAGGGCACTGATACATACACATTTGAAAGCTTAGTTTCTAGTAAGTATAAAACTGTCTGATAGATCAGTCTGGCAAACTGCATACGTTTATCTAAGTCACTGAAAATTAGTCATTTTTGGAGAAAGTCCTACTTTCAATACTTTTCCAGTTAAGCACATCCAAACCAGTGAACTTAAAAAAGAAGCAGGTAAATTAAGAATCTGAACTTCCTAGCCTTAAGAAAAATACCTTAACTTTAAGAGCATAGGATTACTCCTCAAGTGAGCCTATGATCTTAGTAAGATTTAAACTATGACCAACAGCAGTACTTTTTTTTTTTTCCTTGTTTTTAACAAGCAAAAGAAGATGACCTTTTTTTAAGTGCCTGGCCCCATGTCTTTAAGAACCTTTAACTTTTAAATATTTTTTCTTCTTTTTTTTTTTTTAAACAAACCTTAACATCTCACATCTTACATCTCCCATGTATCTTTGGCATCCCTGTTATCAGTACTACTTTTGTCCTCCACACACCACTGAATGGTTGGTTGGTTGTCTTCATGTTCTATGACATTGCATTTGCATTTTATCTGATTCATTACTGAGCACATAAAAAAAATCCCTTCAATGAGAGATCAGTAGGAATTTATGAAGTAAAATCACAAGTCAGCAAATGTAATCAGTCAGTTCTCCATACCTATCATCAGAAAATAAATCAGAAGTCAACCAAACCTCATGATTCATTGGACATTATACTAGTCCAAATGAAACCCACCTTTTAACAGCGCAAATTAAAAGCTGTTGAAGGACACTGGCCTTGTTCTTGACAAGATGGGCCTTGGCCTGTCCCATACTGAGAATGGGGCTTAGCAATTAGAAAACTGATTACATGAAACAAAAGCAATGAAATCAGAAAGGTAAGAGAGATATACACCACCATACAAGCCCAGGTGACCTCCACTACATGAGAGCCATCCACCATCTGAGGACATCTGCCCAAAGGTTAAGTAAGGACCAAGAGACCACACAGTTTTGAAGAACTTTCCCATGAAACAACTTCTTTCTGTTAACTGCTGAACAGTTTTGTTACAATAGTGTGTACAACTACAGGTAAAGAGAAAGGAATGGAAAAAGTGAAATACAGCAGGCATGTATAACCATAAAGCTGTAAACACTGAGACTCCTGGCCCACAACCGGACACAACTGCCAACCAAGACCATAGTTGGCAACAAGTCAGCAAAAAGGATCCAGTGCAATGTGCCACAGGCCAAAAGAACAAGAGTACAAAGAAAAAAACACTACTAAAAACTGGAGGATGAAATTGCTGAGTAAACATGACTATCCCTAGACTGCCGTTAAACAGAGCAACTGAGTGAGATAACACTGTACAAACATTGGAAGACTGCAAACTCCAAGGAGGAGGACAACTACAGTGTGTTACAACTGTGATAAAGGCCTTTCTTCATAGAAAGCCTAAAATAAAGTTGTAGGAAAATGTCTTAAATGCATATAGCAATCCAAAACATTCTGCCAACAGTTAACAAATGAAATTGTCTGTGTAGTGAACATGTAACAACATATGTGAGAAGATACAGCCCTGAGCTGGCAGGGAAATAAAACTGTAAGGAACTGCAAAGTATTGCACAGGGGAAGCTATTTAAGCCCTGATCTCACAAACGTGGAACCATTCTTAATATTACTTAACAAAGAGTTCCATGAAAGTTGAAATAAATCTTGACTGAACAAAGGTATGGATGTGCCAGGTGTCCACAAAATCAGACCCTTACAGAGCTGAGAAATACAAACCAGCTGCTCTGGAACAAAACTAACTCAAAGTTTGGGATTCTCCCTGGGAAATTACGTTGTTGTAGTAACTCCAGGCTGTTAAACCTCAAGTAAATTTCCACTGCAGAGGATGCACAGGTATCTACCATCTGCTTACTTTCTTTTCAATTCAAATCTAAGTGACATTTTGCTGATCTTGAATTCATAACCTGCATCTGGATTCCTGGGCACGCTGCACTAGGATGGAATTGTACTGTATGTATCCATCCCCTACGGTTCACATTCTTTGGATGTATTTTACTCTAGGGCACTGTGACAAGTTGCAGCATTAATGCAGAACCAAGTGCTTTAAAATGCCCGTGACTAAATGAAACTCAGAACCCAGGTGCAGCAACATAATTCTGCAATAATAGAAAAAGAGAAGCATTAGGATAAAAGCGCATTAAAATACCATTATCCCTGGAAATACAGAAGGAGAGTCAAAATAAATTGCTGCTGTTTCCCTCTGAAAGAGGATTTTAACCCCCTCACTTAGACTAACCATGTCAAGAGGCCCATGGGAAAGACACTTGCTCCATTTGCGGCAGAAAACTGTTGAGAGATGCTGAACATTGAGTCAACTGTTTACATAGCTCCATCCTCAGGAAACTGACACCTCTGGCAAAGAAACAAGAGTTTCTTAATACAATAAAGCCATGAAAAGAACATATTAATTACAAAAGTGATCATTATGAACTGGTTACCATTTAAAGGCCATGGTTTTAAAGCTGTGACCATAACTGTAAGTCACCTTCCTTACACATACACTTGCTGATACTGTATTATTATGGGGGTGAGGAGAGGGAGGAAGCTTCCAGAGTACTTTGAGTCACCTCATTCATTGCCCATTGTAAATAGAATGTTTTTCAACATTATTTTATTGTCAGTGCATGACTCTACCCATTACTTGCAGACCAGAGCTTGCAATGGAATCAAAACAGTTCTCATCATGAATTTATGTCTGGCTCTGTCAATATTGTATACTTACAGTTGCAAATATACAGCGGGAATGAATTCCCTGCATCTCCCTAGAAGATGAGGTAGTGGGTCTGCTAGTTTGGTAAGCAGATTCAACAGACAAAAAACTAACTGCACACTGTTTAGGATGCCAGTTCATTCATACCGCATCATATTAATGCCCAGCTGAAAATTCAGACCCTTGGAGGCAATGATATAATGTTGCATCTTAGATACTCAGAACATACTCACAGGGAAATGGGAAAAACTACAGAATTTGTCCTTTCTTAAATCAAGTAACAAGTTATTTTTGCAGCCTTCATGCTCTTTCAACATTTACAATGCATATGTCTCTCATCATAGGTAAAAAATTAGCTTCAGCACACAAAACTATTTAACAGTGGCTAGAATCTTTCATTCTCCACATTTACAAAACAAGAGGTTTTTTCCTATTTGGCAAGCAAGCAAACGTGGATACAAATCCTTAATGAACCCCTCCATCTGTGATGATTTCTAGCATCTCTTATGTAGACCATTCAAAACAAAGAACATTGCTTTCTCTACCCCAAAGCTTAAGTATCAAAATTGGGAATCACAAACCGCTCATTTTCTTCTGCTCCTTCCAAAAATCCCTCTTGGTATCCTTTCTTTGCCCCTGCAGCGGTTCTTTTCTCTGCATCCCATCCTCATCTCTTCAGCCTGCACCTCTTCCCCCTAGTAGGCATTAAGAAAATTTAATTGTGGCCTTACCTTTCCCCACTTTCCACCATGCCTCACTTAGTGTGGGTGCAAGATTTTCTGAAACTAGTCAGATTTATTGTCAGTAGCTTTTTGTTGGTAAATCGAATTAGTGTGTTAAAACTATTCAGCATGTTCTGCTACAATAAATATTGGAACAAAATAAGAGGTCATTAGAAGCATCTTTCTTGATAAGCAAATAAAGTTTTATTAAATCCCATCATTTAAAGCATTTGTTATACCACCATTTACATATTTTCAAATCCATTCTATACTGATTATATAATGTAATAACTTTGACAAAGCGATGGTATTCTGGTATTATTCTGACAGTGATTAACTCTCTCCCCCTCCCTCCCACAGTGAACTGGCCTTCTATAGGAAGAAAAATACATTCATTTAGTTAAGTTTTTCAGATCAAATACATTCCATATACACAAAAAAAAACTTTACAAAAAAATATCAAAAATTACAAAATAAGCAGCACAGCAATTTTTTTTTTAATCTGGAATACTGAACACAGGTCTAAATCACGCATATTCAAGTCAAATTGGAAAAAGTATAGAAAAAAGCCTTGAAGGACAATTAGGCATTGCTATCTCAGAAAGATTTCAGAAAATGTTAATTCCTCTTACTATCAAAAAGAAAGTTGATCTAGGATACTTTCCATTCATGCGTTAAAAAAAAAAAAAAAAAGGAAAATAAGAAAAGGCTTTGAAGTATTTTGGCACAGAAAGAAAACATTTTAAGTGATAACTAATCATCGAGCAACAAGCTTTCAGAAGGAGGGCATTAAAGAAAAAAAAAATACAAGAACTAAATTACATTGGGAGAACTCAATAAATTTATGAAATGATAATATGACCACTCCTAAAAGGATACACAAAGATCTTCAAAGTAGGGTACACACAAATTAATGAAGAAGTCATCTATGCACCCCTGGGACGGAAGGACCACTTCAGCTAGGTTTTTGCACACATTTGGACAGAATGAGGAGAGAAATAAAAAGGGTAGGAAAAAAAAATACCAGCAACTCACTGCGAAGCTAACACCATTTAAAACCAGTCCCACAAAAGCCTCCCAATAAGGAAACTTACTTAACAATTAGTGTTCTTAACACAGTAATAACCCTCTGCATAACAAATGAAAAGCTATCTTCCTGGACCACTGGCCTAGAGGAAATACTCTGCACTACTAAACCCAGAACACAGCTTTCAACTGAAGGCATGTTGGTAAGTCAACAGAGGGTATCACGGCTATCAAGATTCTCTCTACGTAAGACCATTTGGCACTACCCACTCATGAGAAAGAACCTCAGAAGGACCCTGTTGCAGGCAGTGGGCAGTATTAAATACACATGGAAACTTTAGGATACTTAAGCAGATATTATTGCACAAGCATAAAAAAAGTGCAATAATAAAAAAGCATTTACAAAATTACAGGTGCTGGGAAACAGAAATTATCTAGTCTGGCAAATAGAGAGCCTGGCTGGTCAGGTGTTCAGTTCTCAGACTAAAAGAGGACTGACTTCTCCAGCTCTTCCACCAACCTTCCAGCGCACATGACACATTTACAGTACTTCTCAATATTCGTGCGAGTAAAAATGCAAGATGTTTGTACAGAGGGACAGGATACAAAAACAGCTTAGCAGGTAGAAACTGCCTGGTGGGGGGCTGAAGGGAGTGGCTGAAGTGAAACTTCAAAATTTTACTTACAGAAAAACTCAACTTTTCAAAACCTATGGTACTTTTCAAATACACCCCCACACCTCTCCTGCAAAATGAGAAGAGGAACTGAAGAATAAAACAGAAGAGGCGTGTCTGGTTCAGGATCACAGAGGAAGGCAGGAAAAGACAACACCGTAGATCTGGTCTTGCCATCCTCATCCTCCTATGCAAGCACTGATGTCTCTTGCCCCATGCTACTCGGGTCATCCTGAGAGGAACCTGGGTACTGGTGGGCAGAAAAGCAGAGCAAGAGAGACCCTGTGGCTACAGCTGGGGACCTCAGAGTCAGAGGCAGGACTCCCACACTTGTATCATTCACGGTGTTTCATATAGCAGCACCAAGGTGGAAGGGGAGGAGAGAGAAAGATGTACAGAAGTAAACTCTTTCATCAGCTGGGACAATATACGCACATTAATTTAAAACCTAGCTTTCTTAGATGAACACAAAGATATGGAAGCAAGAATGTTTTTATTAATATTTTCTAATCTCACAAACTTCCCAGAATTATCTTGTGTTAAGTTCTTCTAGGAAGGACAGAGAAATTCTCCATCCCTCGTTATCCTGTAGCAGTTATTCTGCTATGTGCCTGTCAGACAACCAGGACATTAATGCACAAATGCTATTAAGAAAAGTCACCTGCTGCAGAGTTTAGCCTTCTTAAAAAGGACACCATTTAATTGAAATACTAAAACCTTAAACAAAATTCAAGTATTAACCTATCTGCGTTGTTTTCAAATAGCATCTCCTTAGTCTTGTAAGAGAAAAATCACAGAAGAGATATTAAGCATAAACAAAAAATACAGAATGAAAAGAGACTTAGCATTTCAGCTTTGGGTTTTGTGCTTTACATCAGCAGGTACTGTATGCTCTGACAGCAACAGAAGTTATGGTAACTACTAGTTTTCTTTCTCATTTGCTTTTACTAGAGCCATTTTCAGTAAATACTAGATGCCCAGTTATTCTGGGGAAAATAGCTGCAGAAAGACAGCTACTTTCATTCTTTGATATCAGTCTCCCCAGCTTTTAAACTGGAAAAAATTGAATTTCAGGAACTGATGCCTGGCACCTTACTGTACTGGTAAGCAGCTCAGACTGGAAGCCCTAGTGCATGCTGCAGACAGATAGCAGGATAAAGATATCCAACCTCAATTTTTAAAAAAAAAAAATAAAAAAAATCAAAACTATTCCCTTCCTGGAACTTTTCTAGCACAAGGCTTCCAGAGTTTACATACTCAGTGGACACTCTGTAGTACCTTCTGCAAAACATGTATGAATGATTTCACTGCAAGAGATCAGAACTTCACCTGTCTGAGATTTGATAAGGCAGCTGTGTAATGGATAATGAACAGAGGAATAGGAAGTAGCTGCAGGACACAGGTATTTCTAAACATGCACAGGACATATATTATCTCTATGACATCAGTGTTATCTTTAAATGCAGAACCTCAAAAATAATGAACTCTAAGAATTAATTTCTTCAGTATTTTAACATGCCCCTGATTTGTTTCAGAGGCCCAAAATACAGTTAGTGTTTTCTGCTCAAACTTAACAGAACCTGCTAAAGTCCACTCTAACACATCTTCTCTGGCTTCCCAGAAAAAGGATTTGCTTTCAGAGCAGAAGATCCAATATACTGACCAAAAAGGATGGTAGAAGTCTGTCAAACAGAAAACTCCTCAAGGAGAACGTAGAATTATCTCCGTTATTTCAGCTCTGCTGCCCAGCCTCATGGGTATTCCAAAGTACATTGTCCCCGGGCTGACATAGACAAAGGTGTTCTGCCCAACTTTGTACAAGCCAACAAAGAAGGGATTCAGAAAATAAGCGCCAGCATTTAGTGGGAACATCTGCCCTCCGTGAGTATGGCCAGAGAGAATTAAATTTATGTCTGGTCTCTCCTGAAGGGCCCATTTTGCAGCAATCGGCTGATGAGCTAACAGCACTATTGCATGCTCGCTGCTACAATCTCTGAGAGCTTTTTTTAAATCCATACCATGCCCTGAGTAGCGCAATACATCTGCTTCGATATCATCAACACCAGCCAGGCAGAACCAGTCATCAGTACTCTCAGGTGAAACAATCTTCACATTCTCATTATGGAGCGGCTGAATCTTAAATGATTTCAACAGCTCAAACCAGTTGCTAACATCTGATGTGTAGTATTCATGGTTTCCTGTGACAAAGTAAGTCCCCAAAGGGGAGTTAAGTTCTCCAAGAGGCTCAACAGCAGGTCGTATGATCTCTGCCTCAGAGTCAGTCAGGTCCCCAACAATCACAGTGATATCTGGTTTCAAAGCCTTAACCATTCTCACAATCATGGCAAGCTTGGTCTTCCCAACTGTAGGCCCAAGATGGATATCTGAAAGCAACACCACTTTCAGATTATTCATTGTTGAGGGCAGCTTGTGAACTGGAACCTCCACTGAATTCACAGTGGGAGGCTGGGAAGCATTTAACAGCCCAACAACAGTCAGCACAACAGTCAGCATGACTGCCAAAACTGGTTTCATCGCTGTTCTACTGTTCTTGTTGCCAGTACCTGGCTTAGCTCCTCTCCCAGCCAAGAACTTGTAAGCCTGCTCTACAGAGCCTAGAGTGAAG